GATAGCAAATGAGATGACAGTTTTTAAAAAAGGCTCCAGAGGTGATCCTGGCAATTACAGGCCGGTAAGCCTAATTTTAATACCAGGCAAATTGGTTGAAACTATAGTAAAGAACAGAATTATTAGACACATAGATGAACACAATTTGTTGTGGAAGAGTCAACACAGCTTTGGTAAGGGAACTCATAGCTTACCAATCTATTAGAATTCTTTGAGGGGGTCAACAAATATGTAGACAAGGGTGATCTAATGGACATGGTGTACTTGGACTTTCAAAGTCTTTTGACAAGGACGCTCACCAAAAGCTCTTAAGCAAAGTAAGTAATCATGGGATAAGACGGAAGGTCCTCTCATTGACCAGTAGCAGGTTGAAAGACTGGAATCAAATGGTAGGAATAAATGGTCAGTTTTCAGAACGTAGAGTGGTAAATAGTGTCCGATAAAGCTTTGTACTGGGACCAGTATTGTTCAACGTATTCATAAATGATCTGGAAAAAGGGGTAAACAGTTAGGTGTCAAAGTCTGCAGATGATACAAAATAATTCAAGATAGTTAAGGGCAAAGCAGACTCAGAAGAATTACAAAGGGATCTCACAAAACTGAATGAGTGAGCAACAAAATGGCAGATGATAAATGAAAAGTAATGCATATTGGAAAACATAATCCCAACAATACATACAAAACGATGGAGTCTAATTTAGGTGTTAACACTCAAGAAATCTTGGAGTTGTGGATAATTCTCTGAAAACTCAGCTCAATCTGGAGTGACAGTCGAAGCTAACAGAATGTTAGGAATGATGAGGAAAGAATAAAGAACACAGAAAATAATTCCACTATATAAATCCATGGTACGCCCACACCTTGAATACTGTGTGCTGTTCTGGTTGCCCCATTTCAAAAAAGATATATTAGAGATAGAAAAGAGAAGGGTAACAAAAAATGATTAAGGATATGGAACAGCTTTCATCTGAGGAGAGATTAAAAAGTCTCGGACTATTCAGCTTGGAAAAGAGACGACTAAGGGAGAATATGATAAAGGGCTATAAAATCATGAATGGTGTGGAGAAAATGAATAAGGAAGTGTTATTTACCCTCCATGAAACCAGGGGTCACCCAATGAAATTAATAGGCATCAGGTTTGAAACAAACCTAAGGAAGTACTTCTTTATACCACACACAGTCAACCTTATGGAACTCATTGCCAGAAGATGCTATGAAGGCCCAAACTATAACTGGGTTCAAAAAAGAAATAGATATGTTCATAGGTCCATCAATGACTGTTAGTATGATCAGGGATGTAACCCCATGCTCAGGGTGTCCCTAAGCTTCTGACTGCCAGATGCTGGTACTAGATGACAAAGGGACAGATGGCTTGGTTAATTGCTCTGTTCTGTTCATTCCCTTTGAAGCTCCTGACATTGGCCACTGTCAGAAGACAGGATACTAGGCTAGATGGACCATTAGCCTGGCATAGTATGACCAGTCTTATGTTGTTCTGATTATTCTAAATTACAGCATCTTAGATTTGTTGAACAGCCTCAAGTTTGCAGACTGTCAACTTTATGCATTCATAACTTTAAAATGAGTAAACTGATTTTCTTTCAGGTTGTCTTATTTTGTAGATACTATTGAAACTTAAATCAAGACTGTACTGTAATTTTTAAAATAAGTTTGTATAACACATTCTAGTTTCTATTATGTATTGTGTGATTTGATATAGTTTATTATAAGGATTGTGACAAAGCTCTGTCCTTGCTTCCGTGGGTCCCACGTTTCCTGGCAGATTTTGCTAGCCTCAGAGGCTCACTGTGACCCTCCACGTAATCCTTCTCTCTCTAGAGACAAGGGTTATAGTCTACTGAGCCATTTTCATCATAAGCCAGCAAGGGAGGTGAGGAGAAGTTATCCTTCCTTGCACAGTCTCTGTTGTCTCCCAGTCTCAGCAATTAATCAGGGGGCAAAGGTAAGGGGGGAGCCCAGGCCCACCCTCTACTCCGGGCTCCAGCCCAGGAACCCTAGTAGTATCAGCTGTGGTAGCTGACCTTTTAGAAACATGACATATACAATCCCCTGGGCTACTTCTCCTACAGCAGCCCTCACTTCCTCAAGCTCCACTTCACCCTTACCTCAGGGCCTCCTTCCTTGTGCCTCATATGGTGTGTACTACTCAGCCTCTCCAACAGCACAGCTTCCTCCCACAGCTCCTGACATGCACACCCACCTGACTAACTGGAAGGCTTTTAACTAGTTTCAGCCAGCCCCTGATTGGCTTTAGGTGTCCCAATCAACCTAACTTTCTCCCTGCCTTCTGGAAAGTTCTTAATTGGCCCCAGGTGTCTTAATTGACCTGGAGCAGCTGCCATTTCACTTATCCTGGTACCAGGGATTTGTTTAGCCTGGAGCTAATATATCTATCTCCCACTACTTTTCCATAGCCATCTGGCCTTGCCCCGTCACAGGATATAAAGAGCAAATAAATTTTACTGCAGGAGTGCAAGGTAGCAGAGTTAACTAAGGCTGACACTCCAGAAACAGTGTTAAAATACAACAAAGAATAATAAAAATCTGTATATTTTAAAAATAAAACTTTACATAGTTGTATTGAAAGCTAATAAATAAATGAAGTTTCTAGACCTTCTATCCAGAACTGGAAAATGTATTTCCCATACCTTTACATACATAATGTTTCTGCAGAAGTTCTTTTCAGAAGCTTAAGGTAGACACTGATTTATGAAGTATCATTAAAAATCTTATCACTCATGTTAATAAAGATGTGAGGGTGCATAGATTCTGATTTGCAGGATATGTCCATTTGGATTGTTCCTTTTAGTTACTGCCTTACAAAGGTATTTTGTTATTCTTAGGGTGAAGCAGAGAAGTAATTTTTCAAGGGTACAGGATACGCTTATTCTCAAGTGTGGGTGAAGCTACACAATTTATTTCCATATGATATTTTTGTACTGAAGAAAGACATTTTGGAGAAGGGAACTGTTGCTTCCATTCTTGAGCCTATATTCCTAAATTAGGTATCCAAACTACTCTTTTCTCTGACAGTGATAAGACAAAACAATTTTCATGCACTATTGGCAGGGAGTGGTCTTGAGAGAGGGAAGGACTCTTCTTTATTTTTCTCTTCTTTCTTATACCTGATATGCTGCAGGGTACATTGGATCCAATGGAAGTTATGCAATCAGTCATGTAGAATGAGTCTTTATACATATTATACCTTTTAGCCCTGCTTTTGAATTCTTACAACTAAAACAATTCAGATTTCTGTTAGGATGTTGTATATTATGTTTATATGTGAGGGAAAATGTGTAAAACTGATCAATGTATTTTGTTCAGCATCTCTCCTTCAGTTAGAATTTTATGTCATGTATTTTTGTCATATGCATAAAATAGAAGATGTTAAAAATTACCTTATTCTTTTATCCCCCATAACCAAACTAAAGAACTGAAACCTCCAGAGACGATGAAAGGGAGGTCTTTAGCGGGTAGAGCATAAACCAAAGGAAATATTCATAGCCACAATTCTTTGAGCAGCATGAAAATTGTATTTCGACCATATATATTGAATCTTCTGTGTTGGTTGTTCATAGTAGTTTAACTCATAAGTACATTTCCACCATTATTAACCCAATCAGTGAAATGAAAGTGGAGTGAGCATGTCAGCAAATTATTTGGGTCCTGACCATGCTGCTGCTCTGCTTGTAGAACTTCCATTGTGTTCCTTGAGAGTTCTCTTTGGGAGGGTCTGTGGAAGTAGGAGCTTTGATTATAATTCAGCAAGCCTGTGAGTATTCCTGTCTACTTATTTAACACAGTTGTATTTATTATTTTATTAATGAATTTTAAAAGTATAGACAATAGAATGACTTGTAAAGAACTGCTATTATCTGTGTATCTAAATTCCACAGTTCCAAAGCTTGTTTCCTACAAGATGCACCTTAACTCTAAAAATCCTGAGTTTCTAATTGCTGCTGGTTATTTTAACTACATTTTTTTAAAGTTTCTTTTTACCCTTAAGTTACAGATCTGTATTTTCAACCTTAACTTCAGCATAATGAAGTTTTAGTCAGGTAATTTGTGTAGATTTTCTTTCTATATTTGAAATGTTTACTAAGTTTTGGGAAGTGGGGATCAGGTTATCTTTAAGAGCTTCCACACTCCACAGAGTGCTTGGCAACATGAAGCAGCAAAGCTGGGTAGTCAGGAATATTTCTCCGAGATTTGCCTTTTAGGGTTTACAGACTCTGTAGGCACTTTGAGTTATGGATAACAGGGGAGCCCTGTAGAATGCACTGTTCTCCTCTCTCTCTCTTGTGCCATATAACTCTTTACTTGCCACTCACCTGTTTGGAGCAAAAAAGCATCTTTGTCCTGGAGTAAGGTTTTGTTATTTTCCTTCCTGTTGGTGATCTATATAAAACTTCTGCCCCTGCCCCTTGAGGGTGAACTGAGTGAAAATTTTGTGTCTCTTTCCCCCTCCCCACCCTACACATGGGAAGGTGTGTGGTTTCCTTTGCTTCTGCCTCTCCCAGGCTGTGGAAGATGTTCAATTATTTGCTGATGCCTCCATCACTCCATCCCTTATCATTTATCTATTTTGACTGTCTTTTTTTAGGGCAGGACCTTGTCTGTATCTTTGTCTGTAAAGCATGTATTACACTTTGGGTGCTACATGAAAATGGCAATATGAGCAGGATCAGTCCTCAAAATGTATATAATATCTTTACGGAAAAGTGTGTATTTTTCCAAATAAAATGTCCTTGTAGCTAGTTTGACAAATAAGGAAAACAAACAAACAAACAAAAAAGAATGACAGTATAAAAAGCCCAACTAAATGTTGGGGAAAATAACATACAAAAATGTCAATTGCATAATGTATTTAAGAAATTAAGATAGGTATTAAGTTATTTGGAATTAATTTGTTAATTGAGACCTTTTGAAATAATTTCTAATTACTGTCTATGTTATATATATTTTTTTTTCTTTCACAGCTTGGGTCCTGTATTTGCTCTGTTTGTACCATTTTTTTGCTCCATTCCAAGGATGCAAGTGACACAAATATTAGGCCAATTTCCCATCACAAACAAGACATTGGTCTATATACTGGGTTTACAGGTACAGTATGTGCTTCCTTGTTCACCTTTCATTGAAGCAGTTTATAATTTTGCATGCCCTCTAGCTAATTTTGTAATATTTCCACCCATACATTTCATCTTAGGCCCACATTTTAAAAGTATTTAGGTGTTGCTGTGCTCAGCATTGCAAAGCCTAACTGATTTAGGAGCTTAAATCTCATTTTAAAAAGGGTTTTAGGTTCTTAGGAGCCAAAATCCCTTTGACAGTCAATGCAATTTAGGTTCCTAAATGCCTAAATAACTTTTGAAAATGTGTCCACTGCAACTGTATGTGGTGGGTCCTTTGTTCAGTTGGCTAGAAGAAAAGGGGTTGTTGCCCTTCGAAGGGCTCCCCTCTGCAATTGGTGGCAGAGATGGAGGAAGGGACCGGTTTACCTGGAGAGATCAGGAAGTGGCTGGACCAGGTGGGGAGGTGGGCACTGCCCTTCCAGGTGACCAGAGAGGGAGGGCTTTGTACTCCAGGGAGTTCCAGAGAAGACTTCTCTGACTGGGATTGGGTTGGCAACACCTACCCTCCTAACCACAAAATCAGAGTGGCACAATCCCCCTCTTTTTCCTGCCCCCTTAATCCTCATACAAGGGGAGGATAGCCAGGCGGCCCAGGTTGGAAAGGAGGTCTGACAGCAGCCCTCTCAAACACATGGAAATGATTAAAGAAATAATGATGACTTACATACTATAATTTATTGCTGGCTATTCCCAGATATTTTACATAAATAAATTTGCTGCCTAATTGAACTACATCCATTGGCTCCTGTGTTTCTTCCAGCATGGCCCAGACAATGAGATTGTCTCCTAATCAGTTAGGCATTGCAAAACTGAACACATCAATGCCTAAATACCTCAAATAATCTGGGCCCTCAGGCCTTATAAAACCACCTAAAACAAGGAGGACAAATATGTACAGTAGGGATTTCTAAATGCCAGTGACCTACTGTAGTAGGATGAGATGAGCCAGTATGCAAGATTACTGCTATTTCATTAACTTCTATGTCTGTCGTTCCGCACAAGAAGGTGTAAAGTCCAAGTTATGAAATCTCTTCTTTTGATTAATCTTTTTTACTTTAACAAAAATACTGATAGCTCAACCACTGTATTGATGTGACATTAACTGAATTTTTCTTATTTCCTTGTTTCCTGCCATGTGAAGCAGGAAAGAATATATATATATATATATAACTTTAATGTAACTTCACAGCAAGATTCTGCGAGTGTTTGACGGCAGCAAGAATCTGGTTGATTAACAATTTTGATAGCTATATTTTATTTTCATACACAGCATTACCATCTGACAAATAAAATTGGTAACTTGTCAATAAGAATCTGACATTAAACTTATGTGGATCATAATATCAAAAGCATAAGGAGGAAAATTAATGAGAAAATATTAGGTATTCGGTAGATGAACATAGTAGCCACAAAAAGTTCTAAAAATGAATGGGTGATTTATGTAACAGGAGACTTGCACATTTATAAGAAACTATGCCTATTTATACACATTCTTGAAGACTCAAAAATATCTCAAACTACCAATGGAAAGTACCAGTAAATGTATAAAACATGGTTAAGTGTGTTTTGGGATGAATAGGCCAGTTTCAGAATACTGACTCATGTCCACTTCTCTAACAACTCTTCCTCCCTCCTGTATGTCCTTGAGCACTTGGAGGGTTTTTCTGCATTGTGCTCAAGCACCTCATTCTGCCTTGATCCCTCTGAAACCTTATCTGTTTGTTCTGTGAGAGGTATCCAGAATGAGGCCACTTTCTCCAGAATCTGTCTGCAAAAAGGGTGACTTGAGATGAGATCATAATTCACGAGTGAAGAAAGGGTAAATGAGTGCTCCACACTCTTTGTGTGGCAATAGCACTTGTGAATGCAACAGGGAAAGTTCGAGTGAAGTCAGAGCGGTTGGCAGCAGCAGTGACCTATTTGTTAGGAAGCTAAGGTAAGAAAGCAAAAGCCAGTGATTAAGATAGGAAAGGACTCAGTAAGGAGATGCCTTTTTCATATGGTTTTGATGGAGGCAGAAGAGAGAACTTCCTTTACCAATTTCAGTCTGGTTTTCAGCCCTTTCCTTGCACTGAGGCTGACCTTCTCCAGGTGACTAAATATCTATACCTTAATTCAAATAATGGATCCCCTCTCTTGTCCTATGCAGTTCTCTTATGGACTCACTCGAACCTAACGCTATGATTTCATATCCACAAACTTCCCACTGGGGTAGAGTAACTTCATTTCTTAAAACTTGACTTCCACTCTGGGCCAACTCCATGACTACACAATTAAGAGTTGCTCCTTTAACTTATGCTGCCTCCTCTATTTGGGACTCCTTTCCCAGTCCCTCTGAGCTGCTGAGTCACTTCCTTTGTTTAAATATGTCTTTCAAACTTGTTTTTCTCTGTAGCTTATAAACAGACTTCCTGTAAAGCATTATGTTGAACTTAATAATGCTAAATGAAAATAAAATGCATAGTATTGTGGGAAAAGAACATCTGACAGATCCCGCCTGCTTTTTCCATCTCTTTTAGTTCTGGAGTGTGCCACTGCTATTATGGAACTGAATTTATGCAAAAATGGATGAGTCTGACTGTTTAATTTGAGGAGATAGGTTTCAGAGTAGCAGCCGTGTTAGTCTGTGACCACAAAAAGAAAAGGAGTACTTGTGGCACCTTAGAGACTAACGGATTTATTTGAGCATAAGCTTTCGTGAGCTACAGCTCACTTCATCAGATGCATTCAGTGGATGCATCTGATGAAGTGAGCTGTAGCTCACGAAAGCTTATGCTCAAATAAATTTGTTAGTCTCTAAGATGCCACAAGTACTCCTTTTCTTTTTGAGGAGATAGACACAAGTCCTACCATAATACTAGGGGATAGTAAATCAGACAACAACATCTGTGTAAATATTAATACCCATATTAAAATCATTACTCTTATATCTTCCAGCTCGTAACCTCTGGTTCCTACATCTGGATTGTAGCTGTAAGTGGACTGGTAAGTATTACTATTTCAAAAATGGTGTGTGATGTTTTTGAGCACTTTGATAAATTTTTGTTCCAACCTATCGATGCTCTAAAAATAACCTTGTATCTTATTGTAAAAGTGTGGAGGTTTTTTATTTTTACTAATCATATTCATGCAAATTATCCAGTTTCTGTGCAGCAGCAAATTATGAACAGTAATGGAAATAAATATTCTGGTATTAAATTCAGAAGTACCAGGACACTAGCTAGACTGATTCTAAAGGCAGATTTACAATAGAAGTGTCTTCTTTATAAAGAGTAACCAGACTATCTTGGCTAAAATTTGCAGGTTGGCATCATTTTCTCAGAGTATCATTTTAGTGCAGTGTGTGTAGCTTTAGACACATCATGATTAATATTCACGATACAGTAGAAATGTTAATTCTAATAAAGTATTGTTTATATACTTTATTCACCCACGTATTTTATTATCTGTTTTTAACAGACTGTAGGCTTTCATTTTAGCATTCAGTTCTCTAGCCTTTTCATTGTGATGATGTAATTTCATGCTTTGCCACCCTTATAGAGTGTGTATAAAACAACCGTTTGTCACCATACAGAAGCGGTAAGAAAGGTGTGAAATAACTTTCCCCACTTTAGCTCAGTGAGGTGTGAAGTCTGCCCCTCTGCTGTCCTCTTCACCTTAGTTGTTAACATTGCAACACTTTTAAATGATGATACAGTTTACATTGCAATCAAGATGCTTTTTTATGATCATCCTGTGCTCCCAGAAGTGAGACACTGAGATTCTTCTTTTAAACTTTGTATGTCCTCAAAATTTTGTTAGGCATGACACTGAACTTTCACTGTTAGAATAAATGCTTCAAAATATCATTTAGCTTTTATATCATTTTAAGTCAACACCTGATTTATAGCTATGAAACAAGTCATTAGTACAAATGGATATTTTTCAGTCCATAATACTTATGCGAGACATGCTTTGCCTGTGTCATCAGCTGAAGGACTGATCATAAGATCAGTGTTGTAATTCAGAAAACAAATACATCTCTTGTATTCCAGATGTCTCTTGCATAACATAACCATCACTCCTCTAAATATAGGCAGTTGCTTCCTTTTTACTTAAAAAAAAAAAAAGAGAGAGCGAGAGAAAAGTGGTAATTTTGCAGCTCAGAAAACAATTGAGAATAAAATTTTATTACGTTAAATGTAAAGTCTGCATTTACAGTGGTTCATATTTCACATTTAACACTGCAAAAACATTTTATAACATCTGTGTGTATATTTCTGCAAGGTATTTAATATTTTGATTTGGCAAACTATATATTTATGTTTTTGTCACAATTGTACTACTCTTGATTTTGTGTAATTGACTAGTTAATCTGGGCCAGATTTCAGAACTGTGCATGCAGACTTGCACATGCAAAATGTCATGTATTTGAGTATGTATTAATTGCAGCCAGTTAGATGTGTAACTGATCATTTGCACACAGTTACTGCACTTGAGTGCCCACTGTGTTAATTAAAAAGATAAATTAGGCACCCAAATGCCTGAACATAGTGTGATTTTGAAATCTGGCTCTTGTTGAAATTCTGCTCTTATCAAGCATCAAAATGTACTCTGCTTCATTTCTGAATAGTCGTCAAGTTCTCATATATTTTGTTTAGGCCAATAAGTTCTCTTTTACAAGTTAAAGATCAAGTACAAAACCAAATGAGTCCATTCAACTAAATGACGACTAATGATATACACGTGCAAGTTACCAAGCAAAAGGGATGAGCTGGGTCCCTTCTAAGGGAAATTTCTCACTCGGGGTCAGGTCAGCCCCCACAGACCTACAAGCACAGGTGTACTTCACTCACAGATTTCCCTCTTTCCATGTGGTAGTGCTACCTATGCAATTCTGTTTCTCCCTCTTCTCGCTCTGTCTGGATATTATTTGATTGGAGCTCTTCATACTTGAGATGGAGCAGGGGGAGGATAGTCCTCTCTGCACCACCATTCCCTGCAAAACTCTTAGGTTTCTGTGCAAAAGAACCAGACTGGAAGTAATACAACTTCGAGTTGTTCCTCCTCCTGTGTCCCTTCTCAGTGGCTACTGAATAGTTTGAGGGGGACCCAGTAGTGACAAAAATACACATATCTACAAATATAGCTATTGATACGGCATGTATAGTTATTGGAAAATTTTGGAAAGTTTGTAGTATGAAGTTGGATTGCTCCCAACATCATTAATAACGGAATCACAGATTTGGTGTAGTATCTCCTTGTGAGTTGGATATACGTTTTGTCAGAATCGAAGGGGAAAAAATCCTGTTTCTAGCTTGGCTTCAGGTACATCTTTCTGGATTGTTGAATTTGTATCAGTGTAGAATACACATTAGAGGCTACTTTTTTACTCTACAAGATCAAAATAGGTATTTCTCAGTACCATTGCTTGTAATTACTATTAAAATACAGAATCCTGCTCACATCTCTTGTATACCAGTATGTGCCTGGTCATTTCAGCTATTGAGAGGACAGAATGCTGTGCAAAGAATGTCACTAGCAAGTTTCATGAAAGATCCTCTGCAAACAGTATGATATAGAAAAAAATATTGTAAACACTTATACAGTGCTGACCTAAAAATTAACATATAATGCTAATCTGTCAAGAGACCTCTTTTTAACTTAGTTTCTTGTAATGGGCTTTGTCAGGGGTGTGAAACGTTTGGTGCATCCAAAAAATAAATACTTAGGGTATGTCTTCACTACCAACGTGGCTGTGTAGTTGCAGCACGTAGCTGTGTAGTCGCAGAGTTCTCCCAGCACTTTTAAAAAACCACCCTCCATGAGGGGAGTAGCTAGCAGCCACTTTACACTGCCGCTTTACAGCGCTGAAACTTGCATCGCTCCCGGGGGTGTTTTTTCAAACCCCTGAGCGAGAAAGTTTCAGTGCTGTAAAGTGGCAGTGTAGACAAGGCTTTAGATGTTGTGGGAGTAATAATGTTTTCCACACAACTGAAGAAAGCTCCTTTTGAGCCTCCAGGTTTGTGTAAGTTCAAACTGCTTTATATGGATAGACATATTTCTGGTAGCAATTTATATAATCAAAACAGGCAGCTGCAAGCTATACAGGTGATACACCATACACTAACTTTTAACGTTATAACATGGACTTTTGTCTTTGTTATATTTACTTTCAACCAACAGTCTTCTCAACAGGTTTATCCAATCTCATTGCCCAACCTAGTTAAGCCTGGAAACAAAAAGATTTCTTGTTTTTTTTCATAAACAAGCACAGTTTCTTAAAATGGCCTGTCTACTTGTATGCTGCATTAAACACGCAAAAATCAGCTTCTCTCTAAAGAAGTACATTTCTGATTGGCGGTCAGTTTATATTTCTCATTGTTATACTCTTGCAGGATTGAAATATAAGGGGCATGTCAAGGCTCACTCAATATTAGCTACAGAATAACTGCGTCAAGAGCTAAATTCAGGTTGGTACCAGCAGATGAGATTTCCTAACCATAACGTGGAGTTCCCTCTGTACATATACATAACATTATCATCACATAGTTCCACATATCAAGGTTTCTGCTATCTATGTTGCAAGGGGCTGTATTTAGTAGGAAATTGAGTCTGTTAGAGCCTCTTCCCTTTTTGTGGTGTATGTGTTGAAATGTCTGTCTGTCTGTCTTTTATACCCAGTGTAACGTGTGCCAATTTTGTAGTAGTTTGCTTTCTAAATAGGCTGTACTACACATATCTCAGTATCTGGGATAGTCTGAGTCTTCTCTAGGCCATAACCAAATTGGGTATTGTCTCAAACTCTGGGGCACTGAGTTTTAAACATTCTTAACTGTAAAAGTACTGAATTTCCTTAAAATTTGACTTGCTTTGTAGATATCATTGAGACTTAAAAACCAAACCTACTCTGAAGTCTGTGTGTACTCTGTTATAATTTATTAAATTGAATGTTCTGATACAACTTTATATTTGTATTGTACTAAATATTGTATGTTTTGACAAAATGATATAAACATTGTATTTTAAGACATCAGCACAAGGGGACAGATTAAGGTAGAAAGTTCTACCTTAACTCTGCATTTCCTGACTTCTGAATGCTTGATTTCTCAATCTTGACATTGCATTAATAGTATTCTTTGGCATGGACTACAAATAAAAATGATTAAGTATTTAGGGATGGGTGTTGGGTTGGTTTTTCTGTTTATTTAATCTATCTATTTAGTAACCAGTGCGCCAAGGCTTCTTTTTCTAGTGGTGGTCACACTAGTGGTTGGTCTGTCCTTCTTGGAGGAGACTGGGAAGGGTGAGAAGCAAAACATTTAATCAACGCTTTCATGTTTTGAGACTTCCTACTGTGGTAGTAAGAATGAAATTACCAAACTAACTATTTGAAGAGACCTGGGGAATGGTTAGTTCTCAAAACAGTTTGACTGTGATGTGATGTAATGCACTTTCCCTTGCACTGAAGATGAATGCATAAACCTTACTATGGGCTTATCTACACTTGCAGTGCTGCAGCTGTGCTGCCGTAGTGCTTAGTGAAGACATTACTTGCACCAGGGGAGAGCTTGGGGATCAGGTTCAGTATAACTACATCTCTCAGTGTTGTGAGAAATCCATACCTCTGAGTGACATAGTTATACTGGCATAAGTATAGACCAAGCCTTAGACTGAAAATTTGTCATGGCTTGAAATTACATCTTGAACAGTACATACCTAAGGCAAACAAGACTTTTTAGCCTGGGAGGGAAGGAGATACTGTTTTTCAACACACTTGTTTTATTAAAATTGAAGTATACTTGCTTGTTTATGCTCTCCATAAGAAGAGGAATTATTTTTCCAAGTGGGGTTCAAACACATTTTTAGTGCTGTCTAGTGACATGACCATACTTACAATGGGCCTTCAACAAATCTAAAACTACTGCTGAAATGGAGGCCTGGTTATGGTACAAAATGATACCCTAGGCTGTTTGTGCTATTTAATGTGTGTTTAAAATAATGAA